AGAGAGAGAGAGAGAGAGAGAGAGAGAGAGAGAGAGAGAGAGAGAGAGAGAGAGAGAGAGAGAGAGAGAGAGAGATGGCATCTACAAAACTGATCTCATGAGGTGATTTTTGTGGGATGAGAAGGAGGAGCAGCGGCGCCACTCTTGGCAACTGAAGGAGAGGGTATGGGCGCAGTGGCGCAGCCATAGCCAGTGAGTTTTGGCTCTACACTGCACGGTTTTGAGTGCCGTTTGTGCAAACTGCTCAGTGCAGCCTGGCAGTCAAGTGGAGATCACCTTTTTCCAATTCTCATCAAGCGTGTTGGTGTGATTGTTCAATTTGAGCTTGGTGTAAGGCTTTTCTCCAATTTCTATCTTCAAGATTGGTCTTCACTCCAGTTTGTTTGAGTGCTCCGCATGGAAAGAAGTTGAGCTTTGGCAAATTCCTAACATAAACTCCCACCTTAGCTTTACAGAACCTGAAAGATTAAAGTTCGCAATGATCAAAAAAAAAAAAAAAAAAAAAAAGTTTGCGATGATCAGAGAGGTGGTGACCATGTGGTGGGCCATCTGGAAGGAACGGTCCAGCGTTAGGCTTGACAAGAAGAGGCAGAAAGTCTGGGTATCAACCAATGAGTGTTTTTGAGGCTGAGATCAGATGCAAATGGCGGCAGATAAACCTAGACTTGTCGCATTGCTGTTTTTGACAGTGGTTCGTCGTCAGAACTGTGAGAGAAGTGAGGTCCTTACGTGAAGATAGAGTGTGTTCTTGTGTAACTTTTGTCGGTGGATGCTCGAAGAGGACTCAACTTTCTTCATCCATCCACTCAGGTGGGAAAGGATTGCAGTCATTCTTTGGGTTTCTTTTTTTTTTTTTTTTTTTTTAATTATTAAACAGAACCTTATGGTCCTGGCTCCTTTTCCATTCTGGGGAGCATCAGTCCGGTTCCTATTCCCCCGGCAAGTCCAAGATAGTACAATGGTTACTCACTCACGCTCTTCCCCCTTATGGTGTGGAGGCCCAGAAGACGGCATTGATTATTTCCTTGAAGGAGGATGTACCGATCTTCACCCCTGCCTAAGTTAGCCTGTTCTAGTAGCTGCTGCTTGACTTTACTGGAAATATCAGGTCTCTTTTCTGCCTGTTCCTCTCTATCAACTGGACCTGTGGCATGTCTGTGTTTCTCTGTGACAGTGGGTATGTCGGACTCCTTTACTCTACTTCTGGACACCTTGGGAGCAGTTTTAGTTGAAAGCGTCGCTTGAAGCTAAAAACCTAAGCCCTAGCTTGGTTCCACTCTGCTGATAGAACTTTTCCTGATGGTTGTTTCCTGACTGTGTCTACTGTTGATGCGGGGTCTGCTTGGATTCTGCGGCATATTCTCTGTTTGGGGCTGGAGTAGTGGGGGGTGGGTTGGTAGGGTTGGGAATTTTGGATCGGTGGTGGTTCCGGGATAGCTGCGGTGCATGGGAGTGGGAAGAGGAAGGGGGATGTGTGAGTTTGTATGTGTTTGTTCGGATGTTTGGGGGATGGGGGGG